ATGGGAGTTCTCTCTGCCATTGAAATGGCTGCTCTCATCAGATGTCATACAGTCCAGTACTTCTGTTTCGATAGAAAGTACTATTACTTAATTATAGCTCTTTATAGTGTTGTCTTTCTGAATTATAGAATCATATATTTGTATAGGATTTGGAGACAGAGAGGACAGAAGCCATGTAATGTCTATAGATTCAAGTGTGTCGTCTCCGATGTAAAAAAAAAAAAAAAAACATTTCTTTTCTGTTGTATGAATGTAAACATATTTTATGTGGTACCATTTATTTCTGTGGGTGAGATATGTCTGAACGTCTCCATCTCTCTAACTTTTTCCTTTCTCTCTCTAATAAAAAACTCTCTCAAATTTTTCTCTCCTTCTCCCCCATCCTCCATTAATGGTGGATGGGGGATCTCATAAATTTTAGTTTTCTTTCTTTTTTTGCTATTTGGTATGCTCTTCCTTTATGGAAGTTTTAGTTTCCCCATTATTGGTGGGCTTTGCTTTTCCTTCATGGAAGTCCGAATGTCTCATTTTGAGACTTTCGGTTCCCCTTTTGGGGTTATTTTTTTCTTTTGTGTGTGGTGTAGTAGTTTTCAACAGATCTAAAAATGACGAAGGAGATCTATGACTCATTGAAGAAGACAATGATGAACATATGGTTTAAAGGGTAGAAAATGAATGGAAGACCTTAGATCTGAGGTTTCTAGGCATTATAGATCTGAGTTTCAGAACCAGATCTGTAGTTTTAGTCTTATTAGATCATAGTTGAAGTTCATTTGTAGAATGTTGGTTCTCTTTGTATTTTCTTCTTGTGCTATGTCCTTCCTGTATTCAGTGATGTTGGTTCAGTCTTACTAAATTAGCTTAGCCTAGCTCTGTACACAGAATTGAGTTTAACTTTTGTTCTGTAATTAGGTATAGCATGAAGGATAGACTGTTTTAGCTCAACTGTAGGTTATTGTATTCTCAACTCTTGTAGTTGATTACATTTGATTCTATTTTATAAAATGATTATCGCTTTTGACAAAAAAAAAACTCTCTGAACAATTTTTTTTTCCGGAAATTCTTGGTGTAGTTTGGCAGATTTCCCAAGGTTAGTTCTACTCTGAATTCTGATCATTACTTTGTGTGATTCGATTTCTGAATTTTGTTGAATGTTGATCAACTCCACAAGGGATGGGTCTTATGTCCCCAAAAAACAGTATTCCTCAATTGATCTTCTATTTTTTACTTCGTTTGTGATGTTTTATTAGTTAAATTCCGGCTACCATTCTTGCTTGAATTTGAGGTTTCAGTTTTTCCGGCCGACGGAGGTTTATTTCAGGCATCGATTTCCACGTGTAGACAGCATTTGATGAGCATTCATTATTAAACTTAGACCAGGCATTTATCATTTTTTTTTTAACACGGGGATATGGATGAAGAATTGTAGTGAGTTACGGAAGTACGTACTGTAATAAGATTCACCATTGCCATGGGTTCGTCATCATTTTGACCATTTTATGGGATCAGGGATTAAGCTTAAGCAAAAGTCAAAGCTAACTAAGATGCCACCAGTTTTGTTACGGTCATCAAATGTAGGAATTATAAAAAAAAATTAAAAAAAAAAGGAAGAAGAAGAAGAAGAAAGAAATCAAACAAAACAATTACAATGCGATGTTGTATATATATAGAGGATATCTGAAGTCAAGTATATGTATTAAATTTTTTGAGAGCTTCTGTAGTGTTTTCACTTATATCTTTCCAATAAAAGAGGATAAAATGGAACAAAGATGAGTATATATTGGTGGAATACCTTCTTTTCAAAAAAAAATAAAAAAGAAAACATAAAAACAATCAACTTAGAAATACAACTCATATTGTAAGGAAACAAATTATTGATTCACTCTTAGACAAGAGGATTTATTTATTTATTGGGTGAAATTGTGTTGATCACAATGTACATGCTAGTTTTCCAACTAATTTGCTTACTTGTTTTTGTTCGTTAATGAAAAAGAACCAAGTTTGAAATGATTAAAAGTAAAAGTAAAAGTAGATACCAAGTGTAGCTTATGAGAATTGTAACGTAAAACGTTTCACAAGTTACAAGGTATTTGCACGTCTGTACTTTTCTCGTTTATACACACAAATGAGCGTCTGAAATAAAATACTAAAATCAAGGCTCCAAACATTTCATGTCTTATGGAAGAATTGATAGGCTATAAACTTACTTTGAATAAGCGATTACTTTAACTTCGAGTGACATTCAAAACTCAGCAAAGGATGATTAATTCTTGGAATATGGATTTCCAGTATGGATTAATCAGCCAAACAGAATCACCTTCTACAGAAATTCCATTGTTATTTCGATACCAAGTGAAGTCGGCATGACTTCTGTAGTTGATATCTAGAATTCTGTGTCCAAATTATACTCGCTTCCCTATAAGTAGAATAGGTTAATTGCTGTGGTTTGGTCATCCTGCAAACAAAATGATTATTCCTCAGTCATCAATCATGATTATTTTAGTGGATAGTTAAATATGTAGCAGAACATCTACTCACAAAAATCCTCCTTGATTTCCCCCATCTCCAATGGTTCCATATACTTGAGCAGACTAATCGTGAACACGAGACCAAATTCCATAAACAATGTAGTACTTAATGTTTCATATTCGCTCCTGGGATTAATTCATCAAAACAATACAAGTCAAACCATAATAAGTTCCGTGTTTGTCACGCAAAGCTTTTAGCTAGCATAAAGTTTTCATTTAAAAACGAAAAATAAAATGGCAAAATATGTACACAAAGGTTTTCATCTTACGGAGCGTTCCTAGGCTTATACAATGAGGAGTACCGTGTTTTCTTACAATGCGACCGGCATACATGATTAATTATAAAAATAGGGTCCAAAACTCCAACAATTTTCTTCAATTACAAGATGTTAATTAATTAAAGAAGTTGAACACTGTTAGCTAGTAATAAGTAATGACCAAAAGCTGAGTAAGAAGACACATATGATTATGCAGAAGCACGTTTTGATTGAGTAACCATAACGGAGATGTTACTGATCTAATGCTTCTATATGGCACGTGAAATCGGTGGCTATAGGGCAATTAAAAGGATTGGGTTCACCCAGCAACAACAACTTTCCATTATGACTTTCTGTTTTTTTTTCTTCTTAACATGCATGGCTTACGTATTGTAAATTTGGAAAACCGAAACTAACACGGCACAAAATCCAAAATTTCATGTTGTAATTTAGTAAGTTTTTGCGGTGGAAATGACATCAGAAAACATAATTAGCTGGAAAAGTGGGGAAACATTTAAAAACTACATTGCTAATCATCTTAATTAAGAGGAACCAAAGAAACCACGAAATGCACAATGTTTGTAATAAATTACCTTAAAAGAGAATGAAGAAGAGTACATACAATTTCTCGGGAAAAATCAGTTTCTTTCATAATCCTCTGCTGTCCAAATCCAATGTTGAAATGCAGCACATGTTTTAACGAGCCTTCCCCCATGTATCGATCCCACTAATGTTGTCATGATATGGATAAATACTAGCATAGGATAGATCTCCAACAAACAGTGTACGGTTTGTCCTTTTGCCGAGATCATTTATAATGACTCACTAATAGAGTCATATATGTCCGCCTAAGATGGATCCCTCCAACACGAAGTGAGTTGATAACGAAAAAAAGACGTAGAGTGACAATGTTAATAGAGCTATCTTGTTTTTCAAAGAGTTTGAATACTTTCTAATCACAATGTGAGGATTTTCTCCAATACTGAACTCAACAACATGTGTTGTATCTCTCCACAGATTATTATTGTAAGGGACAAGGTTAGGGTAACACATGTAATGAATATTACTAATTTCACTAATTACATCTGTTGAACACACATGTTGTTGTTGATATAAGACAAGCATTGGAAGATTATCATAATCTTGTACAAATACTAACGTCATCCTTGTATAGTTAGTGTTAGATTTGAATGATAAAACAATAATCATGTGAAATAAAGAGATTTTAGTATGTTTCATTTCATTTATTTATTTAGACAACAAAAATCAAAGTAGTTTAAAAAAGATATCAATATTTCTTCTATTTTCAATATTTATATAGTAGGTCCGGGATTTTTCCCTTTTTTCCTAGCAGACGAAAAATTGGGCTCATGGCAACTAGGTTGTACAATATTGTGGGCTTTTGATGTTTCATGATCTAATTACTTGAACAGAAGAAATAGATCTTCAGTAGGAAACGCCCATAAAATAGTGAAGGTAACACTCTATTGTAACTCTTTCCCCTTAATGATTTCTAAATGAAATTATGGTTTAAAAAAAAAAAAAAAAAAATCTATTCAAGTTGAGGACCCTTTGCATATGGAAAAAAAAAAAAAAAAAAGTTGATGGCCCTTTGTACCTGGTTTACCCATGCAACCTAACTAATTGTAACCTTAATTTCTTTTAATAACTTACAATTGTAGCGTAAACCTCTAATTTATGAGCATTTTCTCTTGTAATAATTAAATCTGACGATGCATCCATCATTTTGTGCTGGACTGCTGGGTCAATATTCAGTATTATTCAATGTACGCAGATGAATATGCCTAACGTCCTCAATTAGAATATTTTAATTGGTTTTTGTTTGGCCGGTTAGAAAAGGTTTTTATCTGTTGAACTTATTAAAGTATCAAAGGTCCATATGTCTCTTCCAATTCAAGTCTTCCAAAATGCATAACGCCGATTCCTTAGCCGGCAACAAGCTCATAACATAAATCTTATAAGAAAACAACAAAAGAAAATCGTACGGAAAGCCTTCAGCTAAGTACGTAACAGCTTTATTATCGATCTATATGTAATCAACCTGTCAAATGGGAGTACTATACTTTAATTCATCACAATTTGTTAATCAAAAACCAATATATAAAGTTCGCAACGTTAGCTAATTTATTTGTTTCGAGCTTTTTTTTTTTTTTTTGACCCTTGTTTCGAGCTCAAAATAGTTGACAGATTGTCCATGGACAAAAGTTTCCATTCTACGGAGCCACATGAGAGGTCATTCATGAACCCCTCTAGGCTCATGGGAGGAATCAAGGAAGAAGGAAAGGTATATGTTTTCATAAATTAATATGGTTTAATTAAGTTTTGCTGTTGCAAGAACAAACGTATGTATCATGTGATCATTCGAGAATTCGTTTTAGGAAGGAGATGATCAATCACGAGCTATGGTGACCAATGGTTGTGTGGGCTACAAAGGCAGAACTGCTGACAAACGGAAAACCGGAGGATGGAAGGCTGCTCCATTCATTATAGGTTCAAAAGCTTCAAATAATTAACTTAGATATATACCTTCCCTATTCGGTACAAATACAATTAAAAAAACATTATTATTAATGCAAAAAAAAAAAAATCATTTATACTTGTTGTAGTGAACGAGGTTGCTGAAAGACTTGCATTTTACGCAATTGCGGTTAACTTGGTGACATATCTAGTGTTTGAGATGCATCAATCTCTTCCTGATGCTGCCACTCATGTAACTGATTGGGTCGGGGCGGCTTTTGTTCTAACTCTACTCGGAGCATTTCTTGCGGATGCTTACTTGGGTCGATTCTTGACCATTATCATCTTCACTTGCATTTATCAAGTGGTAACTAATTCAGATCAATTTATTCCTTTGATGCTGATTCATATAGTATTAAAAACTAACCAATTTATAATTTTTTTCATGAAATAATTAATGATCAGGGATTGGTACTATTAACGTTATCAGGGTCAATAGAGAGCTTAAGGCCTCCAAAATGCCACAAAAAGCCATGTGTGCCCGCATCAACAGGCCAAAACGCCTTCCTCTATGCAGCCTTATATCTCATAGCACTAGGAACCGGCGGCATCAAGCCATGCGTTTCGTCGTTCGGAGCCGATCAGTTCGACGATTCTGACGATAAAGAATCACAAAAGAAGTTCTCATTCTTCAACTGGTTTTACTATGCCATCAATTTGGGTGCACTTTTGGGCATCACACTTCTTGTGTACCTACAAACTGAAAAGGGATGGACTTGGGGATTTGCGATTCCGACAGCGGCCACTTTTTGCTCTTTGGTAATATTGCTTGCTGGGTTCACCAAATACCGTTACCAAAAGCCTACTGGAAGTGCTTTTACTCGGTTTTTTCAAGTCATGGTGGCTTCATTAAGGAACCATTTTAAGGGAATTGAAGTTAACGATCAAGATCCACTTTATGAGGTCCAGACACCAAATTCAGATATTATTGGTGCTCGAAAGCTTCCCCACACACAACAATTCAGGTACGTTTAATATTTTATTCAGTGTTACTGTTTTTTTTTGTTAAAATTCAGTGTTACTGTTAGTGTGACAACAGAAGTGTCACATACTAATTTATTCTGTACGTAAATAATTATTTTAGGATGAAATGGAGTAGGGTTAAATGCTAGTAGGTTCGGAAGTGTAAATGATTTGCGCATGCATTCCCCCACAGGTTGTTGGATAAGGCGGCCATCGTTACAGACGCTGAAAGCAACGCAAACAAAAACCGATGGAGGCTCTGTACCGTAACACAAGTGGAAGAATTCAAGTCCTTCATCCGAGTCCTACCAGTATGGGCCTCCACCATAGCACTATCCGTTTCATTTGCCCAAATATCCACATTCTTCGTTACCCAGGCCTCCATCATGGACCGGAAACTCGGCCCGCATTTCGAAATCCCCGCCGGCTCCGTCGCCGTCTTCGCCACCATCAACGCACTGTTCCTCGTCCCCATCTACGAGAAATACTTCGTCCCAATTCTACGCGCCAAAACGGGACATCCACGTGGCATAACTTCACTCCAACGCATGGGAATCGGCCTCTTCATATCCATATTTGCATTACTCTCCGCCGCATTGGTTGAGAAGAAGCGCCGGAAGACGGCCGGCGGCGCCGGCAACCCGGAAAAACTCAGCGTGTTTTGGTTGTTCCCACAGTTTTTCCTTATGGGAAGCGCTGAGGTTTTTACGTACGTTGGACAGCTTGAGTTCTTTTACGATGAAGCTACGGATGGTACGAGGAGCATAAGTAGCGCCGTTTTCTTGAGCGAGATCGGGATCGGAAGTTGGCTGAGCACGGCGCTTGTTAGGATTGTCGAGGCCACGACCGGCGGCGTTGAAAAAGGGTGGCTCAGAGACAGTCTTAACAAAAGCAAACTGGATTATTTTTATTGGATTTTGGCGGGGATTAATGGTTTGAATTTCATGGTTTATGTGATGGTTGCAATGAGGTATAAGGGGAGACATGGTGGTCAAAGTAGCGTGGGAGATGATTCAGTAATTCTTGCTGGTCAAACTAGGGGTAATATTGGTAACAAGAACAATAATATTGGTGGGAAGGAAGAAGAAGGGGAATTACGCAGTGTTATGTTATGAATTACTCCACTACTTATTTTGATTAACTTCATGTCTTGGGAAATAACTTTCACTTCTTTTTTATGGTTTTTCCATGAGATTCAGTTCTAAAATTGCACGTTTGAATTTTGAAAATTCTATGAAATTACAAGAACTTCATAATCATCGTTGTAAGAATATGAGCGTGATTTGTTATTGTAATCGTGGAATAACAGTGTTTCATAGTACGTCTTAACTAGTTTTATTTTGGATTAGGAAAAATTCATGAATCATATGCATGATGACACGATGATGTCACCAACAATAGAAATCTATCATAGTTGATTAAATCTTTAGAACAGTTGTAAATATCAACAATGACAACCTTAAGAAACGTTTAAAAAATGCCAAAATAGAAATATCTCTTATGGAGAAGAACTTTTATTAGCGTGGCGACGAGAAAAGTTGAAAGTGAGGGGAAAGGACTAGTGAGAAAATAAATGAAAAAAAAAACACTTTTTGTACCCTAATAAATTAAAAAATAAAAATCATTTCAATTAAAAGGTCGATATGTTTGGAAAATTAAAAATAAAAAATAAAAAAATCGGTGAGTATACAGAAGATCTTAATGATTATGCTAACTCGAACTTTAATCGTGCCATCTTGGGATCTGCTTTAGTGCAATAATTATTATGTTCAACCAACTCAGTCCAACGTTAGTTTAATATTATAGCCCGTGACCTCAACTTGAGAAAGAACTAAAGGTTTGATGCAGATTTTTCTCACGATTGCAAGTTGTTATTAAAATTTGTTAATGCTTTTTGAACAGAAAAGATGGTTGGCATCCCATGTTTTCTGCAAAAAAAAAAAATGAGTATTTGTAACTAAGGAGTGCTTTTAAGAATAATTTTATGTAAGTGGCTAATTGTATAAAATCGACTGCGTGAGATAATTTGCATGTTTCAAGTGTAATAATTAACTGAAATTTTCTCAGTGGACTAATAACGTACATTGATAATTTAAGTTATTTATTCAGATGATTGAGATGAAGGTACATATTGTTTAATCGTGTGACACAAGTTCGGTCACCTTAATTTGAGTCTATTTTAGTTCTTGTAGGGGACTTAGACCATGGAGGAGGACTTATTTTTTATATTGAATTTCACTTTCTCCTGCTTTATTATAAAGATTGTATTTATCAACTTGACATCATGATTGTGAACACAAATCCATACACATATATAGTAGTGCATGCCAAACCTTCTAGCACCAACAGCATCATTTCCAGTTCACAAAGTGAGTTTGATAATTATATATGGGTAAATAAATTATTCTTACTTTTACTTTGCCATCTTTAGAATGGATCTATAGGATCCTAGCCATCAGAATGTGTATCCAAATTAATGTGGAGGACCATTTTAAATAACTAAACTAAGATATGCCTAGCAGTAAAGCATTAACTCCATCATTGTTGTACATATCACTCTCCTTTTCGGAACAATTTTTTTTTCCATTAATCAAGCCATTAAATTAACATAGTCTAATTAATTGAAACCATATGGGATTTTTTCATGCTGAGCAGAGATCCCATAGCCAAAAAGATAATCGTCAAAGTCATTACATTCTCGATCTCGATCCCTTTTCCTTTCAGCAGCCACTCTCCTAATGAGAGTAAAAGAAAAAAGCTTCCCCATATTTTAAAGCCTAAGACTCAAAAAAGAAAGAAAAGAAAAAAACACAAAAAGATTTCGTACACACTGCAAGCATTTTTAATATAGCATAGCAACTTCCTTTTTTTTTTTTTTTTTTACTTCTTTCTTCTTTTTTCTTCACGGGGTCTTTTTTTTCCAAATAGTAGCCCGGCAAACATTGTAGTCAAAAGTCAGGCTGGTGCCGGTCAAACATTCTCCGACGACGGAGCAAGTAAAGGCTGCGCCAGGGATGACTTGATGTGGGCGGCGGTTCTGCTGTTGATGACGTGTTCCGGTGCCGTAGGAGGCGGAATGGCTGCCGCCTTTTGCATGGCGAACTTCTGCTCTTCGTTTTTGCCCCACAGCACCAAATACAATCCTATTATGATCAGCACGGCTCCGATAACCCTATTGTCAAAAATAAAATAAAAAATATTAGTACTGGTTCAGAATTACAAATTTAAATAGGACTGAAAGAGAATTGTGAAGTAAATTCAAGACTTCAAGTCGTTAGTATATTAGTACTAAAGCAAACGATGACAGATAAACATGTATACCTAACTCGGGACGACCATGTGGGGTATGGGAAAATTGCATAATTGATAGTCTTGATTGCCTTTTCTTTTTATTTTTGTGATTTAATTGTGAAAAAATAAAAAAGCGGAGTGAAAGTGGTAGGAAATGAAATATAGTACCCTCCCAAGAAGAATTGCTCGCCCAAAGCAAGGGAAGCCATAATGGCGACAACCAGAGTCTGAACAGGTTGATACACCGCCACGAACACGGGGCCACCCCTGTCAATGCACCATATCTGTACAGCGAATGCGATCCCGGATGCCACCACTCCCTGCAATATTCATATATATATTCATCCGTTATGCAATTATAAATTTTACAATTACACCTTCTTAAATTTTTGAGAATTTGTTGTCATTTCATTTCCTTTTTTCATTTTGCCCGGCCCTACTTTTATAGGGTTACATTATTAACTAACCACTTTAGATTTTAACATGTTGTTACTATTATTTTGTCCAACACGATAAATACAAAACGGAAAAATTGGACTTTTGGGATTTGGAGGTTTTTATTTTTTATTTTTTCCGAGTTTTGACTTACCATCTTGTCGTTCAAATTTAGATAAAGTTCCAAAAGAAGAAAGACGATGGAAATAATACAACCAAAAACAAAGTGCATGTATGCATAGGGCTCGATTGAGTTTGGCATTTACCCACTTGGCCATTTTTTTATCTTTCACATCACAATATCCCATATGCACATGCAATGATGGTAGTCATTTTCCTGGCCAACCTCTCTTCTTCATTTTATTACTCATCTTAAAAATATTTAGGGTTTAGGCTTTCCTCTTCGTTTTACAAAATTATAATCTATTGATTCCTACTTTTATTCCTCTGTTTTCTCTCGTTCCAATGTTCAATGTATATTACTCCATCGAGTCATCTTATTCAGAGACTCCATAGAGTATGCTACTTAATTATCTGAGTTCACAATGTAGTCTAAGAGAATTAATAGTTACATCTGAAATCAAACATTTGATTGGTAGTAGTACCACATATTAAGAAGAATAAATGCAGGACAACTACTTGTATTAATTGACTAGAGATATCAGCCATGCAATTAGAGATTATTAGTAGTACTATACTAGTAGAGACCATATGTATCACGGTGACAAAAATTCCTCATTATACTATTGGACCATTATTTGTTTTCAAAACTTTTTTTTTTAAAAAAAAAAAAAAAGGTCTTTGGTAATTGAAGTAGAAATTCTCATAAGCATTTATAAGTGGCCCGGGGAATGAAAGGGATTGCATTTGACTGAATTATTATTATTATTAGTAGTAGTAGCAAAAAAAAAAAAAAAAAAACTTACAGCGTAGAAGACAGTGAAGAGTTCACCGCCAGAGTGGATCATCCAAGCTTGTCCGTCCCGCTCAATAAAGGCAGCAATAAGTAGGAACTGTAAAATCCCAAAGAAACACTGGTACGATGTGAATGACAGCCTGGCCGGGTAACTTTTCAGCACCGGTTTTTGTAAAACCAGCCAACCGGACCAAGACAGGCAATGCCCGATCAAGAATATGCAACCCAATGTCCAGTTCTTTCCGTCCGCATTTCCTAACTCGTGAACCGTTGGGTTCGCCGGCGCCATCGTTTGTAACGTTTTTGTCGGTGTGTATATCGCCGGACCTTTGTATAGTGTGATCACCGTGGCTCCGGCCACGCAGAAACAGGTTCCGACCACCTTTGCGATCCCATCTTTCCGGTTCAGTCTCACTTGTTCTATCCTGAATATTTTTTATAACATAATAATATCAAAGATTATTTCATAGTTAGGAATTAATGTTGGGTTTTTTTAAATTTTTTTTCTAAAATAGTTTATTAAATATGAAATTTTGAAATAGAGAATTAACAACTTGCCTGAGTAATGCAGCCATGAGAAATGTGATGGCCGGGACAGAATTTTGAATGGCAGATGCAAAAGTTGGGGATGTGTGTTCCAATCCCAACAAGTAGAATCCTTGGTTTGCAGTAATTCTGAAAAGTACAAAATTGCCCAAATGGCTCGAAAATTAACCAAATATTAATTCATATACTATGAATCATGATTTTTTTTTTTTTTCCCTTTCCCTTCTCTCCCTCCTAACTTTATGCTAAATGTAATAAATTGCGTCATAGTACATAAATCATACGTACCCAACAATAGCCATGAGGAAGAACTGAATCACGAAAGACCGAGTAAGCGGTGGCCGTTCTTTCCTGATCATCAAAATCAACAAAGAACGATAAGTCCTTTCTCAATAAAATATTCGGGCGCTAGCAGCCAAAATAAGCTTATCCACCTACTGATATTAGTACAAACTAAAAAACATGATTTAAAGTTTTTTTAAAAATTTCAGAAAAAAAAAAAAAAAAAATTGGTAGGTTGATTAACTTACTTCTCAAGGAAATAGGCAAAGGGCAAGAGAAGAAGCAAAGCGAGGATGTTCCTGTAAACTGGGAACACAACTTTGCTGATCCCCATGTTAAGGGCAACCCGAGACACCACATGAAAACCCGCATATCCAAACTGCAATATCAACATGGCAGCATGGAGCTGGAATTTCTCGGGTATGGAGCAACCCATTCTCTTGCTTGTTACTGAACCATCCGTATCCGCCATTTTTTTTTGACACCAGCTAGACCACTGGTTTTGAAATCAAAGAATATATGATGAAGTACTAACTGAAACTAGCTAGATAGGTATAGGTTGGGGAAAGAAGGGGGATATATATAGAAGAAGGTTAAGGGGTGTATAAATATTATTATCAGTTTGAGGGAAACTGGAAAAGGTGAACGAAGAAAAGAAAGGAAGATGGAAAATGGAAGAAGATTGAGAGAGAGGTTTGAAAATTAGGGGTCCCATGAAAGTAGGGCCTAAAAAGAGGTTTTGTCAACTGTTAATAGCCCTTCAAATGTTTTTGGTTGTCTCCCACATTCTCTCTTTCCCCTCTCTCTCTCTCTCTCTCTCTCTCTCTCTCTCTCTCCAGTCTTCACACACTCACACACTCATTCTTTAACAACAATCTCTCTACTAAGCTGATGACAAGACAACCCCCAATCGCACTACTTAGATTTGTTATTGCAAAAGGAAGTAAAGCAAGGAGGCAGCGTGAACCGGGATCTTGTTTATTTTCCTACATATTTTAGGGTAAACTAACTAAACATATAGTCCCTTCATTTTGGGAGTTTATCTAATTCTGTTCATTTGTAGAGAACACGATTGGTTCACTCAGTTGAAAAATTACATAGTTATAGAAATCTTATTTTAAATTAAAGACTATTATCGATCACTATATTTTTTCTTAGTCGTCGTATATTAAAACTTTAATCAAAACCGTTTAGCCTCAATGTGAAAAATTACATTTAATTAGGTTTACGTCATCTTTTAAGTTATCTGTGACATGGTCTACTGATATTAGAAATATCGGTCTGTATCGTAAATAAACTTTGCGGACTAGATTGAAACTCATTTCAAAATTGACATAAGCAAATTAAAATCAAACTTTTGAAACCAAGAGTATTGGGATTGGATAAATGTACCCTACTATGTCGAGATACGTATAATTGTATGTATGTGTGTGAAGTGGTTCTGTTTTGGGAGCATGCGATAAATGATGATAATGGTGTATGGCATTGGAGGAGGGAAAAAGAGGTGGTGGAGAGCCGCCATGGATAGATACAGCGCGCACGAGGGGAGGAGGGAGGAGGAGGTGGGTGGGTACTACATAACCCCCATGCGTCCTAATCTTACCGGCCCTATCAAATTAAAACCCCCTTAAAACCCCACCATTCCCTTACTCATATGATATGTATGCTTTTTTAAATTCTTAATCCTTTCTTTCTTTCTTGTCCAATTTCTTAATTTCTAATACTACTACACTGTCCTTAGTCTTTGTTCTCAACTCTCCTTATTCAAATACTTTATTTTTAGTGTTTGGATCACTTCTTATATGGTTCAAACTTCAAAAGATTATGCTTATTTCGTTTTTTTAGTGTGTGTTTTTAGGTGTTTTTTGTATTAGGAATATAAAAAAGTGTATTGAAAATGTAAAAAGATATGCTGAGATGAGACAATTATTATTTAAATATTTTGAAAATACCATAAAAAAAAAACCTAACAAACAAAGCCATATTCCTTTGGAGATTAATATTCCTTCTACCAAACGATTGAAACGAGAGATTACCAATAATAATTATGAATAGACTTCTTTCCATTAAAATAGAAAATTTATATTTTCTTCTTTTTTTTTTCTTTCGGTTTTTGCTCCTCGCTGGTGGTGGAACAATAATTTAATCGCCATTGGCCGTACAAGTCCGCATAATTAACTCTTGTCCTCCACATGACCATTATTTTTCTAACAAAACGAATCCTTCTTTATATCATTCTTTGGAGGCCAAACAAAGGCAAAGAAGAAAACTCTAAAATTGTTAGTAATGTAGAATAGGATTTTAGTTTGTTGAACTTACGATTTTAGTTTTCTAGACAGTTATTTCAAAGTCACTATTACCAAGAGCGAATACCAGAAATGAAGATTAACTAGTTCGGAATAGTTTATTAGTGTTTGTGTGTGTGAACTTACTCTATAAGCACGGTCCACCATATGTCCAGTAGAAGGGGTTGATTAGATGGAAATTTAACCTTTCTCAGTTTGTACCTTGGTCACTTTCATCGGCCGGAAACCACAGTAGAAAAGGTTGCAGGAAACAGAAGGATTCCTTTTCTTCTTTTTATCAAAGCTTTTGAGCAAAATATTCAAAGGAATTTAGGAAAAGTAAGTCTTGGATGCAATAGTACAAAACTTTAACATAATCAATTGAATCCCAACATCTTTTTCCCGCATAGAGATCTTTTGTTAATCACTCCTCTTAGCATACGTGATTAATTGGTTCCACTAAAGCTTTAATCCCACTTCAGAAAAAAAAAAAAAAAGCTTTATGCGAAAGTGTGGGCTATATTCATATGGTCTGATATTTATTTACTCCTTTACTTTAAGAAACATTGTGTCCCCCCTCAATCGAGACCAAAATCATTTCTAAATAAAACTGTTGATACTAAAGAATAAAAAATGGAAAATAATCCGTTTTATTAATAGCCTATTTTTTCAAAACAGAAAGGATAACAGATGATTCTTTTGTTCTTTGCAGAGTGAAATGATAGATTAATAATATCTTCCATTCTTGAAATATATTTCATTTTTCGTTACACCTAAAGAAGTTCAATGCTATAGATTTTTCTTTTTTTTTTTAGGACGAATGAAGAATTAATAATACAAAAAAATATTGATAGATGGAATTACTTAATAAAATTAATTAGTGATGTTTTGTTATATGAAAAGATATAACATATTTTAGTCCGTTCTATTTTCTTAAAGAGATACTCCGTATGGAAATTTTAAGGTGTATTACACGTCAATTAGGAAGCTAGTTCCCGGAATAAAATCATTGAATAATTTTTTTCCCCATTAACTTTATCATATTGTTCACTTTTCCAGTGCATTGGGCCAGTTTATTTTCTTCATCATTTTAAAAAATTTGGGATGGGGAAGATGAAACCGAAGGGCATAATGTATATGTCCATCAAAGGGTAAAGTGTCGAATTCGACATTTAGTAATTTCTAATATTATATGCATCGGAATAGCAGAATTTCAAAACTTAACGTGTATTTTTTTTTTTTAACAGAGAGAAAACAAAAGGTCATAGTCCATCAAGATTACACAGTACTAGAAAGTGCAAGAGTGACTGATGAACAATTGGTCTTTTGAGTTATTAACCGGCTTTTGTTTCGAATGGTATAATTCAAAAAATTTGAAGTGCTTTTTGGATCAATCTGACAGCCATGTTATCTGAAAAAAAGCGAAGAATAAGAAAAAATGGGAAAGAAATAGGAGGAGGAGAAGGGGAAGAAGTGAGTGCATGGCCGTGTCGGGGTAAGACCCGGCCGGAATGAACCGGTCGGCAACCACACTGTCCAAAAGCCAGGTTGTAAAAACTTTGATGAACTTCTTTCTGTACGACCTTCTTCTCTCTCATTTGGTTCCCCCCACATTGTACACACAAATGGTTGACAGCTAAAAACTAGAGATTTTATGGTTGCACGGGAGAATCTTTTATTGACCCCCCTCTGAAAAAAAATAAAAAATAAAAACACCATATATATTAACCACTTACATGGCCCTCTCCATCTATTAGACAACACTACTACCGAACTGCACTTGAGAATGTTCATTTGCTGATTATGATCGACATTAATTAAACCAAATTAAGATGGTTTGGTCATGAATCAGCATGAACACACTCTTTTTTCGATGGTTCTGGTTAACTTTTTTTTTTTTCACAATGTGACGACCCATGTTTACTTACTGTAGTTATAGTGATGTTGTGTGGTACGAGGTGAAAACAATATCTTTTGAAAATTCAAACTGGACAATCATTGTAAAACAAATGAAGTATGATTTATTTCAGGTTTAGTAAAAAGTTAATATTGTCCGTCTCGAAATTATTATATAGTTTGAGATTTTATTTTTAGTACAAATTAAACTAAAAATAAAAATTCAAACTGGACAATAATTTAAGAGAGACGGAGTATATAGAGTTATTAAAACTTGGTACCTTTAGTGGAATCAAGGTTGATAGTTCCACATGTAAAATTTTCAACTCTCAAACTCACACAAAATGCGTCTGAGATACCAAACTTTTCTTTTAGGATTCACTATTTATTACTACTAAATTAAAGTTCGAGTTATTGTTGGGAAATATAATTATCATTAATCATACTTCATTTTAAATAATTTACAAAAAAAAGTATTTTGTCAAAAGTAAAAATAAAAATAAAAAATCGGCACGACAGGAAACGCTCAAGAAAAGAACGTGCAAATCGACTTCTTTTTGAAAAGATCCTTCGCCCTCATTTTCTGGTTGCGCCAAAAAAAAGGGAAACTTTTTTTTTCATCTTTTCTTTTCTATCTTAAAGAAAAGAAAAAAGTTCGTCCTAAATTTCTGTATTGCACGCTTCTACCAATTTTAAATATCTGAAATGGAAAAAAAAAAAAAAAGGAAGGAAAAAACGGAAAGCGAATATGCATACAGTATCATATTTATCCCTTTTGGAATGATTCCCATTGCTCCTGGCCCCGAGGGTTTTTATTTCATACTCACTTTCTTTTCTTCTTTTCCAGATGAGATTATTGTGAACTTGACACAATCACTGACAAAGCTACCAATTCCTTCCCTAGATTTCTCTCGTAAATATCTCATACAGTCACTATAACTACATGAATAATCTTATTTATTATTTAAAATATTGGGCAAGATTTTCAATACTTCTATTTAATATGTTCCACCCTTAGTATTTTCAATTTAGGTGAATCAAATTTTAATTGATTTTTTTTTGAAATTTTCTAATATTTGAGGGGCAATTGGCAATTAAAAGAAATTAACTTGCCCCACCTAGCTTATGTCCCTCCCCCAACCGGTTTTAGAAGGCACGAGCACGTTTTACCGCCTAGTTGAAATTTGTAATAGTTTTTTTTTTTAACACAATTTCATTAAAAATAAAGAAGTAATAGGACAGCGAATATATTAAACCTTATATCAAACCCTATATCTAGCATACCGGCGAATTTGAATTTTCTTTTTAGCCTTGGCTTTTTTCGAATGATTGTGATATGTTAAAGCAGAATTTTCATTGTAAAAGGACTCTTGTCCTATCGCGTATTCCATATCAAAATCGTCATCATCAGAACCATTGGAAGCATGATTTAGTCCGCCTTCAAACTGTATGTCTTCAATCAAATAACTTGGCTCATCTTCAATCGAAAAGGTGCAGTCAATCGACCATCCTCTTCTTTTGTAAGAAGAAAAGTTGGCTCATCTTTAAAGAAAGATTGGCTCATCTTTAAAGAAAGATGGTTCTGAGTGAATCACAGGTGAATGTGATTTTCTGAATGTTCATGTATGGTTTTTGGATTTGTTCTAGATCCTAAA